GTTCTCAGGAGGTGTTGTTTGATAACTGAGTAGCTTCAAATACCTCAGTTAGGCAAAGTTTCCTGTCTGTATTGAATCAGAAGGTGCTGTGAAAATAGACAATCATCTGTGGGTAGTAGTTCTGCATACAAAAGACTTGGTGGATTCGTCAAGATTTCTGTCCAACTTAACATCACATAATTTAATTTTTCAGTCACTGATTATTCCGTTTAGATAAATTCTGCAGAAGCATCTGTACCTGTCTCGCGGTGGCATAACTATCCGTCGATGTAGAACGACACACTTCAAACGTCTCATTACTACAGATAAACTACGTGTAGTTCCAAAGAATAGTCGTCATTTGGTCATTTGCTATGAATTATGTGACTGATGAATGGGGCCACTGCGGGTTAGTTTCACTGTTGATCAGTGGCCCTCGGCTGAACCGTTTATACTCTACCTACTTGCTGAGAGTCTCGAGTTCGACTATCCATGAAAATTCGTAATATTTTCTATTCCGGTGCATCCCAATAAGGAAAAGCAGTACCATCTTTTTTGGTTTTTTGGTAGAGATTGGGTTCCTTACGGTACAAAAGTCTGATTGAAGACATTTAACAATGGCTGATTCAGATGTGGGACCAGCTACGCTTCTTCCAAAGTGCGCTCGGTGGTAAATGGTCATAGATTCGACCCCGAAAGCGTATTCAGCACAAGCGAAATTGCGATTAGCCGGATTCCTGAAACCACAGCCACACGAGTGCTTTTTGTTTTTATTAGAGCTAATCGGTTGAGCTCAGGAGATCAGAAAATAGGATGGCTAAATGGGTAGTTAGTTTTGAATCGTATCCACTCGTCATTTGAATATCTAAATTAGTAAAAATAGCTAAACAAAGGTTAGAGCGTGGAACTGTCAACCAAAGCGTCATGTGTTTTATCCCTTTACGACCACCTGGTGAGTCTCATTATAGTTAAGAGTTTTCAGATGGCGGGTGTTTTTTGGTGTACGTTAACATCTTTATACTAAAAATTCGGTGAAGCTCCAGAACTATGGCTTGATAATTATCAGATGTTCTGTCAGATTTGCGGACTAAGCAAATGGAGCAATAGGACTATCTACCAGAATTTAGATGATTGTTCGAACTGATCAACACTTGGTTGGATGACAAGTCACAAGTCATATTAATGATTCGTAGAGCTCGGTACGACACTTCGAGGTTGCCCATTAAGGAACTAGTGATGAGTTTTACGACCACTGACGTCTTAGTTTACTTTCCATCTTTTTCTGATTTGGCGACTTAAACCTCTTCATTTTGTTGTGAAAGGATTCACGGGTTGAGAAGAAATTCGGCATTTGAAGTTAAATGCGTGTCTCCTTAGTATAAAACCCTTGTTCCACCAATAACATCGCCGCGTATTAAAAACAAATTTCGTTAACCGATGCTTACACCATCTGCCCAAATCATCTGCAGTAAACGTGTATGAATGAACAAGGTGCGAACAACACCTGATAAATAGTTCAGACTTCGCAGCGGGCCTTGTGTTCAACTAAACACATAAGACCTACGACTTTCTTAACTGGAGAGTAGGAGAAACGCTTTGACCGTCCGAATCCCCAGGTGTTTTGGTCGTACTTAAAAGTTCATCCTCAAGGTGAAATTTATTTTTATTGAAAAGAGATGAGAGACACTGTTAGGCATCCAGTTAAGTTAAGAGTCACATTCTGTTCTACTTTACTTTATTGCTCAGTTGGCATTTGATTGTCGGTGACCCTCTGTAAGTGACCATGGATTAACAATGGGCTTCCCGGGTATCGACAGGAAACTGATCCGTTTAATGACCAGAATTTAGTAACGTTTTGGTCACATATTAGGTGTGTCGTTAGTCGCTTCGTGCGCATACAAAACTAAAAACTTTAATTTTGTGACTGCCTACACTAGCATGGAGAGATAGGAAACCCAGTTGTTCCCAAAGTCTTGAAAGTATATGTGAGAGGATCATTAGAATAGTATTTATGTTTCAGTTTGTAGTTCCATACCATGGCAGTGGACTGTATACCTTGAAGCATCAAAAACGGTCTTTGCAAAGCTGTGTTCTCTGCTAGGTCGGGCCAACATCTCATATAGTTTTGTGGTTGCTAGCGATAAGAATACATACGAGGGTGCGATTCTGGCCACCAGAACTCCCTGAGATGGCCGACGAGCAGCATGTTTGGTACGCATAAAAAACCTTAGACGTGAGATAACTGTAAACCATTTTGTGTGGTGCTAAATTCCGAAATAAGAAAAATCCTTTGGCAGTATTTTGCTCGTACACAGCGAACAAACCACGAACACAAACCACATTACGATTATTCATGAATTGCATGAATCAATCACTGACTTCCGTTACTTTTGGAGCAGTTGTGCAGATGCTGGTCATGCAGCACGCTTTTCTGTTTACGTTTCACATGCGTGAAGATGGTAAAATGCTTGACTGGTGACTGATAGGCCCATAGATAATGATGTCGAATACTATCCAGACTCCTCTCAACTGCTACGCCTTCATTTCCCACCCAAATTTGATGGCCATTTCTCTCTAGTATGCCCAGCATTTGTCGCACAACAATGCAGTTCTGTTTTTCTGGCAACGTACTATTCATACGGCTGCTGAAAAATCCTCCACAGCCCCTGACATGTTTCGTCCTCTTTAAGGCTTATTTGACAGGTGCACTCTCCGAGTTTCCGTCAAACTTATTTCCATTTAAACTGAAATATAAAAACCAGAGATTCGGCCGTGACTCATTCGAGTTCCCCGTCAAAATCAGATTAGCTTTCGAGTGTACTTGATGAAATGCGCCGTCAACTTTAGTGGCTAGAATAAAGCTGTTACATAAACCACGGCGAGAACATATCTCACTGACCCAAAAGAAATGTAAGTCCAGTGAAAAGTTACTATGCGCATTTGGACACGGAATACCGAGAAAGAAGAGGGCGAAAAATACCTGCAGTGTCCGAAATGTTCTCGATAACGCGTACGACGATTGCCCCAAAGTCTTCTGTGCGCAAAACCACCAATGATTGAGCTCCTTCCGTTATCGATCCGCATCAGTAGCTGGGGCAATCATATTGAATAGCATATTCACAAGCTGGATTAGAGTCCAAGGTAATGAACATCGGGCTCCATTCGGCAATGAAAATATATAACTGCACTTCCCTTGTTAAGCCTTTTCGAGCTCCTGCTCCGGACGACCTCCTTCTCACACTGTTCGTGGGTTTTTACTTGATTCATTCGCCTCTATTTTTCGGAGAACCATTCCAACAAGTGGGCCAAATTACTATCAATACCCCCTTTAAAAATAGGGACCCACATTTAATATGGTGAGTACAATAAATAGGCTTGTCCACTGTTGTAATATGACTTGGAATCACTTGCCTTCCGTTATCTTTCGAAGGTACAGGTGAATCAAACGGCTGAGGTAACTACATCTTCCCAATCTGTTAGGTGGCAGATTGCCGACCTATGTTTGAGAGATCCATAAACTTGACACTCCTAGAGTTTCAGTATGTTTGGAGGATGTTGAGCGGTCTGCGTCTCTTGACAAGCTCGCTAGTTCGCTTAGAGGTTGTACTGGAATTCTGTGAACCTCATGCTGTTAGGATTTCAGGCGTTTTGGCCCCTCAAGTGTCTATAGTTATCACCAGTTGTACTCAATGTGTTGATTGACGAAGTAATGATATGAGCACTGGAAGGCTTTCAAAACATCGGTCTTAGAAACCATTGCCGTTGAAAGTCCGGTAGACGCGGACAATATAATATTTGTCTTTAGAGAGCAAATTTAGGTCGGAGGTTTTTAGTATAAAATTTATCCCGACCTTTGGCACACACATTGCGCAAGTTTATGTTGTTAAAGAGGCAGCCATTTCAGTCCAAGTACTCGTAAGTGTTAAGGGTTTCACGTGTCCTGAAAATTATACTGTCTGTTTCCGAGCGAAGTGTGGACACTGAAACCATAGCATGAATTGCAAAGCTCTGTTTGTGTGTGCTGATATGAGATACTTGTGGAGACGAAGAGGCATGTATGTGAATCTTGGAGATGGTTACGGTACGCGATATGCTACTATGTAGCTATGAGACATGGCGCATGCGAGCAAGGTAGCTTAAGCTTCTTTAGGTCTTCTGTGACCACTTTCTCAGAACTAGAGCCAGTATGGTTATGCCCTAACGTAGTTGCAACGTGACTTTAATTGAATTGAATTGATTTTAATTGTGTCAAAAGACAGAAGCCGAGGTATCTTGGTCATGTAATTAGCACGCCGGAAAGGATTTGGTATTAGCCAAGATGAACAATCACAGAAAACAAGCTTTGTTCGCTACCTTCTTCGTTCTCATGACTACAATGGATATATTCAGCCGCCTTATTTGGTTTTTGTTAGTTAAATCAGAACAGCATCGACAGCGACGCGGGCACCTTTCAACATGGATGAAGATCTAAAGGTGATCATGAAATATCCGTGGAAAGGCATTTCAACCAGTCCTTCACGATGGAGACTGCCTGGAGTTAATCGATCGCTAATCAATTCCACTGGCTTGTTATCACTTCATTTCCAGGTTCCCCGATTGAATCTCTGGAAATGTGACCACCTGGGAATATGACTAATTGACTAGAACTGGTTTTTACATAGATCCTTTCACTATTTTTCATAATAAGGCTTTTAACCAAATATGATCACGTAGAGTAGAGTAACAGCTTTTTTTCACTGATGCGCTTCTACTGGCTATGGTAACGATGGTTGTAACCGGAGAAAAATGCTGACTGTTCGGTGAACACGAGCTGAGTCGATCTTTGACGCCTAACGGAAATGTGGAAAGCTTAAAGTAAAAACGCATCTGGGCGGAATAAAAAATAATGCGACGTTTTGGATGCCATCGGAAACCTTTCCTAATGGTTTTAGGAATTACTTGAACGACGACAAAGTTTACTTTTTTTGGGTCCTCCATCATATACTTTACTTGGCCTGTTCCTGAGATCAGATTTGACCTACTTTTGTGTGCGCTGGGACAGGCATGTGACTCACATTGTAGTTCTGTTATGTCACTGTCCAGATTCCTGTTCGACCCATCGCCTACTACGTCGTGCATCAAGTCCACGCCACAGAGGGAGAAGGCTAGCTCCGTCGTTGGGATTGACAGATGTTGACCTCTACTGATGCAGCGATCGTCCGTTCCACATGCGACCTGAACCCTGATTAAATTATTCTTATGCCATCAGGCTCACTCTGGTGATTTGACCCAAGTAAATGAAGTAGGACGGCCGAATAACCTTTGCGTTCTTTGGGAAAATCATGCGCGTTGTTTGCGTTCCGTGACTTTCATATGGAGTTGCTTGTCTGAATGCTTAATATATTTGGCCAGAAATAAAGCTAACGGCATTCAAAACCCCGGGTTGTAGCTTATCGATCCGCTACACAAGGTTTTTGGCCTTAAACGTTCCAAGTTTTCACCACGATTTTGCTCGCTGTGCTTACTGAGTTTCGAGCCGGGTGAGTCTCAGAACACCTCGTTTATCAGACTTGTTATAATCTGTCTTCAGACTTTGATTAAGGCCTTTGTTTTCAAGCTCATAGTTGTGTGGGGCGTTTACACAACGTTGTAGGCTTTTAAAATGCATATTCTTCGATTTCCTTATCTTCTTTGGGCGAGATGTTCCAAGTGGTTAGAGCGCGAATTTACTGACTGGAAGGTCAGTGGTTCGAACCCGACCTCTGCCTCTCGACTTCCCCTGTCTAGGCTTGGGCAACCTGGCAGTAGCTCAGCCATCGTGCCTCCTTCGTGTGGCATGGCAACGAGGCACCGGAAGTGTGCTACAGGCCCACAGATACCGCCACAATTTATTGGCTTTCGGGAGGACAAATATCATGTGACGGATTTGAGACACGAAATGGTCATACGTTTATTGTGCGTCACCATACGGCACGTTATCTGGGATTGTTTCATGTAGTTGCACGCTTCTCGAAGTTACGCGTCCCCTTTGTTGATTAATCAATAGAGTGTGAACAATAGAGTTTGAACGGTCGTCCTCCCACAACAGGATCCAGTAATTGTCGACACGTTCCACCAAAATCACGAAGTACAGTGGACACAATTTTAACTGTGAGGATGAAAGTGCTAATCCACTTAACTTAACTGCAAATTAAGGGAATCATTTCGCGTTTGCAAAATGAGTCAACGAAGAGTTGCTGTTAGGACTTAGTTATGCTCCGGGAATAGCAAAGAATACGACAGAATGTTGAGGCCATTGGCTTAAGGAGAGAGGACAGAATGAAGTTCGAAAAGCAACCAGAGTATCTTAAAACTGGCAAGCATTTTAAATTTCAGCTCTGAACTTTCCAAATCTCATGCAAACTACTCTGTGTGAGAGGCAGTTCTTGATGATGGATTCGAAGTCGCATGCTAAGCATAAGCTTCCGAACTTTCGGTAGAGGGTAGGCTGTGCCGTTATGATCTGCGACAGTCTTTGATTAGTAGCTGTTCACTATGTAGATCGACGGCAGACCATACTTGACAAGCATTCAGTGTAACGAGAAGCTTTGTCATTTCTAATTGCAGTTACATCTGACTGGGTGCACTGCAATTTGCGTTTACTATATGACGATCTCAATAAAAATCAAAAGAACGCGTGTCTATGAAAAAAAGAAGTGACAACTGGTGCTGTAAGTGTTTCTAGCAGACAGCTTTCTAAAATGTCCTGGGAAAACCTAAGGAATAACAGAAATCCTTCTAGGGGTTCATCGTTGCACCAATTTTCTAAACTGACACACTCCGTTTCTATCGGCCCCTTTCCGTTCGTGGACTGGTGCGTGAGAATGAGTGCAACGGAAACGTTCGTCGATACACACATAAACAAGAGAAGCAACGACATTGAAGAGAGATAATCGACGTGATATGAAACACAACGGTGCTTTAAAAAAAATCCGCATTGTCCGTTTGTTTGTTTGTGTGTTGTTGCTGTACACTGCGCTTTTAGATCTTGGAGCTTGCAGCTGCAGAGAAGTAGAACGAACAAGCACGAACAACATGCTTTTTGTTAAACTCAAGTGCTCTCCAAGTAATTAGGGTCCAAGTGCACGAAGCTCGGTTGTGTGGGGGGTGGATGGCTAACAGAATCATCTTCATGTTCCTCCTCACGCAACTTACTTCGCACACGCGCGTGTCCACTTCCGGGAAGGCACGTAGTTGTAGGAAGGCATTAAAACAACTGGTACTCGAACGGGGTGATATTCGTCATGCTCAGAACAGAAAGAGAAACATTTTTGCTATTTGAATTCCCAGAAAACACACAAAGGTTCTTGTTTGTTGCAGCTTAATGGTGAGCTTTAAAGAGCGCTGGATTCATCGATTCTTGCTCGGTAAAAAAACACTTGTAACAAAATGCAGTAGTTTCTTTCACCTAGCCTTACATTAGCATATGTTTATAATGCCAGCAAGATGAGACTACTGATTTACTTAACTCTAGCTGGAGGACAGAAGTTTCATAAAACCCTATGAGCCCTGAAAACAATCCACTGCGCTCTACATCCTGGCAGTTTTCATCAGGTGGTGCACCAGTATCGGAGATGTGGTGTCCGGAATTCACGGTTCACACTCCATCTTGTTGCAACTGGTCTTCTGGTCCCACTTGTGAGAGGTATCAACCCTTTTCAGAGAATGGTTAGCACATCCGGGATTAAGAATACGTGTCAAGGATTTCTCCATTCCATGGCGAATTTCCAAACAGTCGCTGAAAAACAGGCACATGGCCGAACTTAATGGATGGAAAAGGGGGTAAGAAACGGCCGGACTCTGATGTTTATATGAAGTGTACATATAAATCTTAGGGTCACGCTTTCGAAGGATCTTTTTGGGGTCAGCGACGAAAGAGATAAGGAACTACACGGCTTCTATACGAATGCATTCGTGCGCACTGTTGCTGCACAAGGGGCGTTTCATACAAACTTTTTTCTACTTCACGGTGAAAGCAAGGGGGAGAATTTAAATTCCAGATGCCTTAACTTTCAAGGATATGTAAGAGAACCAATTCAGGCTTCAACTTTAGATCATTTAAGAAATTGCGATTGACTTTTTGGTCCGTCAACGCTGCACCCCATGAGTAAATCAGCCATGCTATGGTGAGCGAACGCAACAAAATTCTGGTCTCAGAACGGAGACCACTAGCCCGAAGAGCCATTGCAGACAGACTGAATCATACACCTCTATTTCAAGAGCTTTTCAATTTTGACTCAAATGAAAACGTGTGTTTTAGATTCTGCAAACAACTGGAGGTTCATAGACATGACGACTTTGACCAAATCGTCAGCACATTTTGCAGGGCATAAGAGCGCATTAACAGAATCGGATGAATCTATGGACAAAATATGCTACTTCGTACATTTGCGATCAAAACTTGGTGTCTTCCTCGCAGTAATTATCAGTAAAAAAGATCACGCCATTTTATTGATTGAGGAATTACGGTGATATTGCCCAGAATGCGGCTTGTGCGTGGTGGAAGCAAAACAAATAAGGAATGCAGAGTGAAGGAGTTTCTGTGTCGTACTTATGTAGTTTCGTCGTAAAATGTCATGTGGAGAGTGAACGCAGTGATTACAATCTGCGGGAAAAATGTGCACTTCTGAGAAAAACACGTTGAAGAACCAAGATTAGGTAAACCTTCGAGTGGACAGGAAAAGGAGTTAGTGGTATTTTTCCGTTTTATTCAAGCAATATGCCCAGGTGGGTCATCGGTCTCAAGTGCACTGTAATTTCTTTTGGGAGTTACCGTCCCATCCTACTTAAAGTGGTATAGTTTGCACCCGTCTTCCGATGCTAGTTTGAATGATTTCTGTTCATTTAATAGATTAAACGGATTAAACCTAGTGTGTTTTATGATGTAGTCCTCGCTACGGGCATAGCATAAGTCTGGAAGCCGGGGCATTATTTACTCATTTATCACATCGAGAGTTGATGTTTTGCATCAGCACAAATAAAGAAAGCTTCTCTGCACAAAATCTGGTAGGGTGAATGTTGTCTGTGTTTCCAGAGAGTAGCTTTTCATCTGAATGATTGTAGACCAGGTGGCCACCAAAACTGCTGCCACAGTAGTATGATACATGCCTGATATCATATCATCAGCGATCTTCGGTAAAAATAAACTTACACCATGCACATTTCTCCTCAATAGTCCCTAGTTGCAAAAAATTCCGCGGCAGCTTGTGGCTACTCGGCCAACCTGAACTGAGAACGTTTGGGCATTGTTCATATGGCAGTGCTCGACCTTACTAGTGCAGTCTGTGTAGATACTTGTCTTTCTCAAAAAGCCTAAAAATTAATGAATGTAATCCATGGTGTCAGACCACGCTGGTGTCAAAGAGGGTGTTTTGGCTTCAGCGTTTTCGCTTGTAATGGCAATTAACACAATTTCACAGTAGGTACAGACGTTCAGTTGACTTAACTGTCGCGATTAAGGAAGGTTCTATTTTTGTTATTGTACGGTTGTTTGGACCTAACTAGTCGGACTATGGGTTGTTACAGGCTGGAGGACACAATATATCACATGTAGCGATGAAGTAATTGACGGCAGGTGTACAAAATGTCATTCAAACGGGGAGTTAGCGTGTAAGTACTTATGACAGTGGGTCACAAGAACCAGGGGCGGGCCCGATTTCTTAAATATTGTTTCACCGGACAGTGCGGGAAACTTATATAAATCAATCCTGAGGCATATGGGGCATTTATCTACAAACATGATGAGTAAATAAGCACTGGTTGTTATTTTATATGACTGATTTAGCTTTCTTGCGGGATAACCACCTTGTCACTCTTTTCTATGTAAGGGATGTAGAATACAACACTATCGTATTCCATATTTTTCATCCCGCCATAAGCAGTTAACAAATCATAGGCGACTTCTTCAAGGCGTCAGTGTCAGAAGGAATCTTATGCTGGCTGAGCAGAAAGCATTATTTCACAGGACTGGCTAGTACAAGCTCACAGAGTTATTCAACGAAGAGTCCGTCTCCTCTATATAATGTAGAGAGTGCTCGATGTCGAAGGAAATTCAACGCCGGAGAATACCGCTTGACTAAGTTATGGATCAGCAGTTCCTCTCCTCTCGCGTGTCAGCAAAACGCATAAATAATAAGGTGAACATCAGTGTTTTCCCTTTGAATTAGACCAAACGTCCAGTGCCCTTCCAGAATTAAGAGTGGAACTGCTTCGTCGCCGGCTGTCTTTCCACTGACTTCTTAGTTGTTGAATTATTGATGTCCATTCTTTGCATAACAGATGAAAGAAATTCGAGCTTTCAGAAAAAAACTTGGGAGTCACACCCACGTTCACAAACAGCTGATCATTATTGACAAACTCTTTTTCTTGGCGAAGGCGCCCAATCTAATTTGTATCAAAAATCATACAAAGTTTTATTACTAAACATTATGTATTTCAAACGAATATCGATATAATAATAGTGATACTTTGCTGACTGACTGACGGGGGCACAGAAAAATACAGTGAATAAAGTATATGCCAACACTGTACTTGAGACTCCCAGGACGATCGCTGAACCCCGGAAAACAAAAGGCCTGGCGGGGGCATTGTGACATCAAAAGTAGCTTAGCTGTCTAAGCTTGCTAATGCAATTTGCTGATTAGACATGGAGGGCACAGTTGTAGTCACTGCAAGAACGGTTCTGCGATTCACTAACCGAAAGCATGCTCACGAATTATCCGGATATTTCAGCACGACTTCCAAGCCGGTTGAAGCAGCGGTCATGGAGCATCACATGGAGCTCACAATCAAAAGCTGTATCAAAGACGTCCCAAATGGGCTTAGGTGAAATGAACAAATGGGGTAGCTGTGACAAAACTATAGGACCGGTTTAGTTTATGATCTAATGTTGGGAGCATGCAGTGACACATTATGGATATTGCACTCCAAATTCTTAGTATTTTTATGAATGCTAGAGAAAAATTTTGTCGGACGCTTACTCGGTTTCTTTACCGGGCAATCACATACTGGGCTATAAAGTTGAGAACTCCCCGGCATCGTGAAATCGTTAGGACCTTTAGCTAGTTTTTAGTTGAACGAAAATCAGTAATTCGGGTTATCCGATCCAACACCATTAAGTTACTGGACAGGAATGAACACGTCTGCATAGTAAGAGATGTGAACAGTCGTATCGAATACATTTTTAGGTGCTTGAAACCACTCAGATCTACTGCTCTCTAATTTCATGCGCTCAGTAGATATTCCACACTGGCATGTCCGCGCCGGAGTTATATCCGTTATACCCTGCCTGTCATAAACATTTTCGATTCCGTGGCATCAATGGTTTTAGTCGTAGCTGGCTGACCAGGAGTAGTTGATCTAAGAGTGTCGGTGCTAACAGGAGGTAAATCCCGGTTAAATTTCTCCACAGCATTTATGGAAGGCTGGGCAATGGGTTCGGAATTCTTCAACATTCTAGAAATTTTGGTTAAAACTTTCAAAAATTTAGACAGAGTTCCCATGTGCTAAATGAACCCATTTGAAAACCAGTTTGTTTCTCAGCTAGGTTTATCCTTTGTGATATTCTTCCAGATAAATTTACCACATAAAGATTGTCACATGTTTCAGTTAATACGCTTTCCTTGATGGGACATATCATACATAAGTTTGCTGAAAACGCTTTGACAGCCCACAACCGTTCATTCCATTTTTGGAGATCATTGGATAGGCGTAATCTTGAGTCATTATCAAAATCAAGTTCCATTTACCCTTTTTTGAAAATCTATTTATTTGTAACGGGAGACTCAAATGAATAAAAACCCACGTTTGAAGTGAACTTGGTGAGGGCATCTAGCTAATTAGCCTTAAGAAGGACAAAATTGGTGGTGGGCCGTCGAAGAGTGTTTTGTAAATTTGAGAGTAGTGCGAGTATAGGCTGTATGTGGTATTCAGACCAAGTAACTAATCCCTCAAACTTTAACACGGAATCACACCAAGTAATCTCTGACAATCAACGGCGGTCAAGAGAGTGATAAGCTGATGTGATTACTTCTGTAGTTCCGTGCGCATTTATTGGTTTCAAAAATAAAGGATGAATTTTATTCATCGAAAATGAATGACTAGAAAATGCTCAGCACTAGACGGCTTTGAACTTTGTGGAGTTTCATGTCGTTTCTCAAGGACCGTTCTAGAGATGTTCCGCGACTCCTTGTGTCTACTTTACCTGCATGGTTCTCCTTCTGTTCTCAATAATAATGTAGCCTCATCGCTTACTCCAGCTAAGAGATCATTTGATTTTGGAGAAAGTTGCGTGTGTCTGAGAATGCTTTGATTCGCTTCACTTCATTTCCCGGAACTTCAAAATAGTTCCGACTTACTGGGTTTTTCAAGCCGACTAATCGAGTTGACAAAGTGATTGTTGTCACAGTTGGATTCAAATCGTTATCCTGAAGAAAGCACAAATTACTAGTCCCCTGGGGAATAAACAAATAGAGAAAGGCGGAAAATTAATCAACCGATCCTCTCTAACCCATATTTAATTATAAAACGAGAGACCTGTGCACAGTATAATAGAAACACACAATAGAAACACACGATTGTTTGAGCCTAGTCGTTCGTCCTTAAAGGATTTTCGTGATTTTTATTTTATTGGTAGCGGTCAATAGGTAAGTCTCGTGGGTATAACCTGAAATAGTCGTTTTTCAGCCTCTATGTGCGTAGACAAAGGACTCGAATATTGTAACAAGATAGTAAAACGCCTGAGCCTCCGAATTCGCAGAACTGGTTTCTCTTCTGTTCCATGAAGTGCTGAGGTGGTCAGTGTGGAGCACATTAGAAAGTGGGATGCCGAAATTTAAAAATTCTGAGACTCCGTAGCCAGGTCGGTTTCCATTCGAGGGTGGAAATTGTGTAGTATCACTCAAGTTCTATTAAAACAAACCGTTGATCTACATTTGGATATTCTGATGATGAAAAAGATGGTGTCCAGTATTTAACCTCTTTAGTAAAGTTGTTCGTTTCTACATTCGTTGACTATCCTGTTTTGCTCAATGGATATTTCTGGAAAATAACAGATGGACTTTTTGATTTCCACCTTACTTACGGACTAAATAATAAACTTACCTACTTAATAATTTGCTCATTTTGACATGCGCAAAAGGCAACTGGTAGCAGCCACAGGAATTGTGATAAAACTAGGACAGCACATTATTCATTTATTAAAATTCTGGTGACCACATCAGCTCTTTCAGTTGACCTAAGCGTTTTTAATCTAGTGGACAACTGATGTTTGCGAACTGGCTATTAGGGCATGAAAGCCGAGACGTACTTGGTGAAAAAAATTCTGCATTTTGTCAAGGTCATTATTATCATGTCGGGTGGACTATGTCTACCTTATCTTTTTTCAAGATTAACCCCTATTTCGTATTGCTTTAATAGCTCTGTGGTCTGCTGGGTCTCCATGGAGAGAATAAATCCTAAACTTTTGTCTCAGAAGTACACTGAATGATTTAGATGAAGCTGGGAGTCGAGAGCATCCTACATTGCTGCTTTATCGGCTGAGTGCTTTAAAAATGGCAGAAAATAAAACAGTCTGAGATATGTCGTCATCAGATTTGAACAGCCTAAGTGTATATAAGTGTTTGAGCTTATCTATCAGGGTCTTCTAAAACCTCAGGTTTCGGGTTACATATGTGGGAATTTCGGCTCGAGATATTAACTCATTATAAGCAAGTTGAGGAAGTAGTCACCTATGGCAGCCAATAGGAATCCAAACGTATCCTTGGATCATCCAAGTAACGTGTTGTCCGCGATTTTCGAAATTAGTTAAAAAAAACCTGTTAGCTTTTCGTCAGCTGATATCTCTTCCAAAATTAAAGATGACGTCCTTGCTAAAGCTAATTCTTATTCTGGAGTGAACTTGTAACTGCAGTGACTCACTTGTTGTTCATAAGTCATAATGCTCTGAAAAGCATCTCTTCTTCATCAACAGTTTCAAGTGGAATAGCTTCAAGCGATGCACCAAATCGATCTAAGCGAGATAATCGCAAGATCACGTGTCTACTAGATATACCTGCGTAACCCACAAGATTTTTCTCGGTGTATTTTTCATCAACTCAAGAGAACACCTGGCTACGTAGTTGAACTGCTTCTGAGCAGTTCCATCATGTTCCTCGTCTATTGTTCAGTACCTTAGGGATCTGGCTCTTGTCAAAACTTTTGACGCATAGTTAAAACAAAAAGCGTATATAGCAGATTATTACATCCGTACAAGTGCTGTTCGATTCAGTGTTTTTATTATAGTTGCATCGTTGGAGTAAACGAAATGACCACACACGACGTGCAAATTCAGAGACTTGTAAGAGTCCACCATTCATTGAGGCACCTGACTTTCGAAAACTATCGTGGCTGTTTTGGGGAATATGATGGACTAACTTAGGGTCTGGAGTCTGACTCCCATCTCGTCCCACTTTGACCAGAGTAGGTGCAACTTGCACTGAGGTTCTTTCATTTTCGCTAGGGTGACTGCCAACAATACGTAGTGTGCCTGTATCTAGTAATCTACCACGAAGCATCGTTATCTCTGTGCAAAAATAGTGGCTGTTAATGAAGGTTCGAATTGTAGCCTAACTAATTTGGTGCTATTTCTCGGTATACCATACAGACAGACACAGACAAGCAACCTGACTCCGTTGCGAAGATTACCTATTAGAAACTCTTAGTAAATCCATTACTGAGCACCTCTTCTGTGGCGTCCGTCATTTACCAATCTGAACATTTGCCATGAACTTTTAGTGCATGCTGGATTTAAGTACAATATACACCTAGAACATTTGCATGAGTTCTGTCGTTTCCGGGATAAAGATTTGAATAAGGAAGCAAAGCCATTGTGGAACGTTCAATGGGTTTATTCTGTTTCTTTTTAGAAAAAAATGCTACATAAGCATACGGGTAGAGTACAATAAAACGGACATAAATATACAGTTTTCTGTACGGTTTCTAGATGCTTTTTAGATTGGCCGACCTAAGTTCTTTCCTTGAGATTTAGTATATTAATCGTCACAGTGTCAGTATCTTAGAAAAACGCGTGTAGCGTACAGCTGCTTCCCGTTGTCGGACCTCAGATGACCACGTACTCTCCTCAGTAACCACGGGTTTGTAATTAACTTGAAGCCACACCTGAAGTTCATTGAAAAATTAAAATTAGCAACCAAATTTGGTATCTTGGTGAGAATTTAGAACTTCTAATTAGGATTTTGCCCCGTAAATGAGGCTAATCCATTCTGAAAAGTTAGGAAGCAATGAACTGCTGTTTTAACCTTAGTCCGAATCGCCAGTAGTGAGCATCCGAAAAAACTCCAGGCAGTTTCGAATCCGCAAGTAGTAAGAACAATCAGTTACTTGGTAGTGAGCGGCTGATCAGAAGTTTTAATGGCTGTCATCCAGGCACTATATAGCGCCATTAATCTTTAATTGCAGAACCAAGTTAAGGCGGTCAACTGATCACTAATTTTGTGAGTGAATTCTCAGGTGGAAGGTCCACTCAGCGTGTGAATAATCCTCCATCTGAGCTACCTAACGTTTGTCTGCAGTGTGAGGGGTTTGATGACCTTTGATTATGATTTCATCTTGTAAGTGGAATCACAGCAACCGGATCTCCGAGCCGAACAAGCATATTCCTAATGGCACGAACCTTCAAGATTATCGGGACGTGATAACGCAGTTTTGGCCAGCATCAACTGGTGGTGGGGGTGATAACCCACTCAACTCGCGTACTAGTCTCGAGGAGTTCCACTCCTGAAAAGGCAAGAATGTGCACCACTGAGGATTTCTGATAAGAATAAGATCGGGTTTAGTGCTTTCTTCGTTCAGGGTGAAACAGTTCAAATAAACTTACCACAACAAGTAGAAAACGGTGATCCACAAATTTGAACGTTCTTGTAGCGACGCACTTAGCACCCCCTAACTTGGTCACTGAAGGACGAATTGTTTTAGATCTGGGATTTGTGGAATCTCAGTCCACAGCACTCTCGTTTACTCGCTGCTCATAGCCCAACGCACTTAACCTGGTGAGTCCACATCAAGGCAGAAAAATACTGGACTTTAGATTTGGTCTTATTAGAGCCCATTAGCAGTTCATATGTGTGAGCATGACGGAGTTTGAACCCCGGAAGTCTGACATGCGAGGAGAGCAGTTTCTGTTACTCCATTAGTGCAGGATGGATGTATCACATGTGAAGACGCCAAAATGTGCACGCCTGAGTAATATGATTTGTTTGCCCAACACCTCGGACAGTGATCCAAAAAGTGCCATGGTTTTGTTGACAGACCCGCTTACCACGGTTGCTTAAAGCCAGCTGGACGATTTCCGGTCAGTTGAGGGTGGTTGCATAGTTCGTAGAATTCAAATTTATCCAGGCTGTTCTGGTAGAGTAATTTTGAAATGATCGCCTCGCATGTCACATGTGTGGGCTTTAAACCCGGTCTCTGTCGAGGATATGCACTGCTGTTGAGCTCTAGAATGAACGGAACTTGCCCCACTTTGAGAGGACTGCTCAAACGAGAGTGATGTAAACCTGAAATCTACTTTGTCCAGAAGACAATTTCTTGGCGTTGGAGGCAGATTTTTCTGTAAGGAGCAGTTTTTGATGATAGCATGTACACCAATAATATGGCAAAATTTTCTCATACAGTCGATTTGCTCGAAGTTAGAGCAAAATATTCTGTCTCGTAATTTTGTCACAAGCTTCGGCTGTACACTAATGGCTGTTCCTTTGAGTAGCTTTTGAACCAGTGCTTCATAGAAGTAACACTCGAAATGTTTTGCTGCACATTTTTACGTCAGTTTTAAGACCATTTATTGTAGGGCTGGTACGATGAGCCTAAAGGCCCCATTGTGAATCTTTTTCCGATTTTAGCAACAAGCTCGGGAATCCGAAGGGAATTAATTGTGCCGTTTTCCGCTTGTTTGCTACATTCTGTTACGATGGTCGTCTGGTTGCCAACAAAGATTTCTGAAGAAGTCAAGTACGCTATATTTTCATCGGAACACTCGAAGATAGATTGATCACGAAGATGACTAAACGGGTTCATTCGAAAAGGATTGACTTCAAAGTGGAAACATTTGATGACCATTTCTGAGAACGAAACACTAGATGGAGCTATATATATATTGTCAATATTTTGTTTCGGGTAGAACTTGCACATAAAGACAAAAAGTCAGCTAATGATCTAGGTCAAACAAACAGAAAAATTCATAAACAAACACGCAATTGGTCAGATTAGTTGAGGAACGTTTATATGTGTTGATATATTCCATCAACATAGGAAAGAGGCATAAATAATAAGATATGAACATTTAATACTTTGCCTTCAAATGCGGAAGCAAAACAAGCGAGATTGATAATATAATGAGATGGAACACTGCAGTTTTAAAGTCTTCAGAAGGGTATGGTTTTTCCCTCTGAAGGCAACTACTGTAGAAAACAGATCTTAAAACACGTTTTTCGTAGAGCGGGCAATCCCGCTGGAATCCCTTAATTTTCGGATAAAAATGAATGTAAGCTAGCAAGCGCCGGAATACGTTTACTGAATACTGGTAAAATTCTCACATTTGTTAAATTTACATCATAAGGGGTGGTGCTTCAGCCCTTTTAGGTGGTGATCTATCTTGGAGTGAAGTGCACCACAGAGATTTTTCCTCTATGAATCTTATCATTTCTCTCAGTGGATGGTCCTCTCTCATTTTAGAAGCCACACATTGATTCAGGGGATCCATGGAATCAGTAAGTTGTCCGCAATGTTTCACACATGAACATACCTCCATTCATTGCTAACCATTTTTATTTGGAATGGTGTTTCAATTATACGCGAAGTGGTTGTTTTATTTTAGTATGTCTTCCGGACAGGTTATAGTGACAAAACTTCCCCTACATGGGTCACCTTTCCTACCCAAGTTTATTGTTTGTAACACACTGGTAGTTTATATGAAAGTTCCTCAAATATTTGGCTCTATTGAGTGAATATGACAAACATCAACTATGAAAAGAAAAATGCACTTTTCGAACAGAACCCAATAAATGAAATCAGCTATCAAACAAATCAAGTTGTTCATCTGATTTTGAGCTAATTTGAGACGATTTTGAATGGGGGAGTTTCGCGTTTATTAAAAATCATTGTCTGGTCAGCATTTTAAAGACCTGGGGAAAAATTGAGGGAAGCAACTGTATGTCAGGTAGTCCGTTCCAAAGCAGCAACGACTCTTGGCTGATGCCTGTTAGATAGGTAGACAGGATCATAAGATTGAGGACACAGATGCATTGCTGCTAGGCGAACGTGGTCCAGCGAAGCGGAACAGACACTTTTGCACGCATGATTGAATCGCAACACAGCGGAAAGTTTGGCCATATGGCGATGTTTTATTTTGCTAACTTTAAAACGGAAAGAGCAGAAAGCAGTTAAATAAATTTTGAATCCGGTGTTTCTTATCTGTTTACATTTATTTGGCCAGCGTGAATGGAGAACAGAGCTTCCAAATTAAAGGACACAGTTTTGCTTTTAATTCTTACATAAATATGCTTTAGGGGAAAACGGAACCCACAATCGAAGGCCGATTGTGTAAGACAGAAATAAACCTAAAAATACAAAGAAGAACACCAACAAAGCAGTATGCGTGGAAAACGAATAAACACAGGATGCGCTGTTTCTGGATGGTCTGAACAGGCAAACAAGGATTCAGGGCTTGAACAACTAGGGTTTGGAAGTGGGAAAATGGAACAGCGTTATGAAGCTTAGCGTCTCGGGGAAACAAGAAGGAGAATTCTTGGTGGCCGAAAATATGTAGGTGTTTAAAACAAACAGATGAATATAGGGCGCGATTTTCAACTGGGGTTTATTGTGGTCATATTAGTAGGATCAATTAACATAGGCTAAGTTTGGGTTGAGTCATTGGTCAATTGAGGGAAGGTAGTCCATATTTTCATAAAAAAACTACTCACGAGGTTGCTGAAAACTCTTAGATAGCCCACGACCGGTTTCACCCCTCTTGAGGCTCATCAGGTAGGCGCAGTCCTCGAGTTTCCGTCAACCTTATGTTCTACTTGAACTCATACCTCTGAATTTGATCTGGCAAGGAAGGTTAAGACGGAAAGACCCCAGTCCGAAGGATAGCAGCATCCCAAGTTCGGACGGATTCTTTGGGAAATAGAATCCAAATATAAAAGATAACCAGGAATTACTGGTGGAATGGGATGAATCAACAGATTTCGAAGGACTGGAGTCCGTTTAGATATTGAGAGTGTATGTGGGCAGCATGTGACTAAAGAAACGTATTACAAGGGATTAATATAATTATGTCGGACAATCACCAAACAATGATTCCTATAGGGGAGAGATTCGGAGCGCTCATGGTCCGGACTGAATAGCCGTAAATCTAAGGGCAAACGGGCAGCTGAAATAGTCGAGAGGGAATAAGTCAACATTAGTGTTGTTAAAAAATAAATGCACTCAGTTAGAAATGGAGCAAAGTAACTTACCTGCGAACGGAATGAAAGGGATGGAATAAAATGCAAAATCGGTGGAAACAGTTACCGAAGCAACTGTGATGCTTTTAGGAGATGTTTCTGTATAGGTAAACATGATTTTTATGGCCTGGACAAAAGATGATGTAAATTGGTCGAGTGGCCAAGACATGGGGTCAAAAGACGTGTCAAAACGAAGAGGCACTTGCAAAAAATGTAAGCTAGTGAAAATAAGTAATCACTCAATGAACAGAGGAGCTTGCTTATGGCGTAGGAGTCAGGTTGGGTGGTTGGAACAACTTATAGGTTTTGTGGGAGTCGCACAAACGATCATCTCATGCTCACTTATGGGTGCGGGTGCATTCTGAAAAGTTTTCTAGGATCAACGGAAATTTGAGTCTTTGAAAAATCAAGAAAATGGGATGGAATAAGATAAGAGTTGACGGGTGGGGCTAACGGTACTGTTTATAGAGCAGATGTTACAGAGGAACACTTCAGCTGTCTGACATAGCAGTCCTTTTGTATATACATGTATATACTAGTAGTATGTACTAGTATGTACATGTACACATGAAAAGCCGGTTTAGGCCAGAGACTGCACTAGGTTTGGCGGTGGGGTTTCCTCTGGAAGATAAGTAACTATAACATTCCTATAGCGATTTAGGAACTTCAATAAATAGAAGAAAAATTACTTTAAAAATACTTCAAAATTTAATTTAATATTTAATTTAAAATTTCTCGCGGCGATTTTACCGAAGTAGACTCACACAGAAAAACAAGTCATCTATGAACGCTTAAAGATTAGTGAAGCTTGGCTACAGCGACATAATGAGATGTAGAACTGGACTATTGGAGGAAGGACCCCAAACCTGTGAAGCTCTTAGGGCGATCACTAAATTTCCGAGGTGAATACCAACAACAAATTCACAACTACGCAGTTTAGATACGCCTCTGCTTAAATTCGACCAACTCATCACAACACAGGTTTTTTCCGACCTTCTGGAATCCAAATATTTAATGGAACGGAGGTTAGCACCTGGCGGTTTTCGGTAGATACGCTAGCCTTCTTTTACAGACCGACCGTGCATATACTATAAAAAGCCCACTGTATAGGAATTTATATGCTCAAGCAAAAGGGCCATGTGAAGCAAGTTTTACCCATCCTATTTAATTCAAAAGCATGACACTTTTTGACAAAAGAGTGCATTTAAAGCTTAAATAAACTTGTTTAGTAGACTAAGAAGTCCCAGAAAATCAAAGTTATCTAAATATTTCCAATATTTGCTTAAGCACATAGTACTACTACTACTACTACTACTAAGAGTCGTTGTGGCATACTTTCTGTGTCTAGCTGCTATGTTAATTAAAGGACATATGGGGGCCAGAATAGTTCCATGTCCCGCAAGCCCAGAGATGAACATTCGGGATACTGAGACTGAGTTTAAAACATGGATCGTCCAGTCCACGGGCTGGCGGCCTATCCATTGAGCTATCTCGAGCTCCTTGAATACATTGCCAGGACCGTAAATCCATCGCGGGGCATCGGGACACATTAAATACGTCTAACCTCAAGAGCTGTTGGCGCTAAAGAATCAAGAGATAGTGATGCAGCCTGGAAAAATAAATCGAATGGTTATGGATAAATCTGTGCCACATAGTATGAGCCCATAATTGGCGTGAAATGACCACAGATTTCTCTACCAACTTCCCTTGAACCAAGCGGATTAAATGGAAACGTGGAATTGTTTTTTTGGCAGGGTTATCAAACTACAAATTGTATCTTTACAATTATGCAGAAGCAAACGGCAAAAGTCCCCTGCTTCCCCAGTTTTTCACCTTCTCATAAGTGATATGGACTCAATTGTCAACGTTTAATTTATTTTGGCTCCCCTGATTTCCATTCTTATTTAATTTGGTTTTAATTTTTAAGCCAACTTTCTTTGGGTAACTGCATTCTGATCCAATGAAATTGAAGAGTTATACCCAGGTCCTTTTAAAGTTACTTCAAATTTCGACCAATTTCAGATGACTAAATTTTTTCTACTGAAGCAGCTGCTAAACCGCACAGTGTTCATCGAATTTGGCTAAAGGATTTTATTGATCCCACAGCAACAGGATCGATGATATATGTGGCATCTATATTCTTGTTGTGTTCCTAGGGCATCTACCCGCCGATCGATTCACTTCCTGCCCGACTGTGATGTAGAAATATGATAAATACAGTCGCCAATAAATCAAAGCATAACTTAAAGGGGGCAGTTACAACGCTCGGTTCTTATTGCAGGAAAGTTTGGGAAGGATCGTTTAGACCCACTCTAAACCAGCAATCTGGAACGTAATCGTACATCAAGGTTAATGTTCCCACAGATATCTTCAACAAGAGGTATTGATGGGAGAGATTTACCTAACTCGAGCAATGACAATTCAGCCACGTACACCATATACAGAAAACCGGGTTTTTGCTACAGATCACCCGACTAAGATGATACACTCACCCTCACTGTTGTCGTTTGTGTGAAATTAGGATTCATATTTTTGCTCTGTGTACACAAATAGACTTCCAACACGCAGATACCAATTATTTCTGAAAAGAGGATGGAACCATGGAACCTTGCGTGCACAAGTTAGCTGCTGTACATCGACTCACTACGTCTGCTTAAAGCACCACGGTAGCCGCTACATAATAAGCAGGAATCTTTACTCGCTCAACCGATTGCGCCAGTAAATAATTACGATTAGTTGCTGATATTTTCATTGGTTGAAACCGATGGGTGGATCCATGAAGTAGTTCGAATTGAACCGATGATTGATAAAACGATGCCATTTTTAAGTGGTCAGGTATGTTCGGGTAGAACCGCTTCGGAAGAACAGACGTAGCCGTTAGTTCCACAGCCAGTGTTTATACCTTGCTGCTTTAGGCTGTAGTCCCAGCTCGACGATTGCTTTTCGGGGGTACCTGGGTTATTGTATCCTGCTTGTCACCTGGCAACCAGCTACAATACATTTAGTATGGTTTCTCTAACTGGAAATTGGTGAACCATCTTGAGTCATACCAAACTTCATTTGCTTATTCTTGATAACATCAGCCTTCTGAATACACGTGTGCTCTAGGGTTCCATGTATTCACTACGCCAAAATCATTAGAACCATGCCCGGGGCAACCCTTCCTGCTTTCCGATACAAAGAACTGCTGATATACCCCTCAGTAGTTCCGTGATATGATTTCGGATTACCTGTGCACAGTATCAGGCTGTAAAGCCACAAGTAAACTATCATTGGGCGGGATTTGTTGCCTACTAGAGTTTCCTTTGGCTTATGGTCCTCAACTTGAGATATTCTTGATGTTTTATGCATAAAATAAAACATCTCGTTTACTTTGAAATCTGATGGTAATTGTCTGTTGACCGTACTATATTCTTGGCATGCAATGGGTGTTCCTAATGTGTTGCCTTTTAAGCATGACAACAACCACCTTCTGATGGCGCAGCTGTTTTCGTCGTCCTCAAAAGAAGTTTGACTGAACGCTGTTTCGAAACCTCCAGTTGATCCGAGTAATCATTAGATTGGGGTGTCATCTGATTATTTTTGACCCGCCATTTGATCACACTTCTTTCTTCTCCAGGTCACTAGCTTCTCATTGAGGTATTATTCCTTAACAATGGCTTCCTAATTATTCGGGGCCATCCCGTTTGTTCTGCCCCCGATTCATCTTTGTATTTATCGGGGTCTTCAGCTGAATGAATACGTGTGTGCTGACTTTACAGCGTAAAGAACTGTTCGAAAAGATCGCAAAGATCACAAAACATCAACAGTCACCTGATCAAAGACCAATAAGTTTGTGCAGTTTTCCCAACACAGCTGCTTGACTATCGTCTATCTGATTTCAGGAGTATGGAGCTTCGAAATTATGTGCAGCGAGGTGTGTCACTCGTCTTTATGTGAGTCATATGGGCGTTGAGCGCTCTTACGAAATAAGCGCCCGAACCGTACATGATAAATTATACACTGCAGCTCTTGGGCCGAGTTCGTTTTTACTGAAATTTTTAGACTATCATATCTTAGCCTATCTTAGCTTATCTTAGCCTATCTTGGCCTGCACGTGGGACAGGCGCTAAATACAGCTTGGGAGTGATCTTCAGTGTGATGAGACCACCCTCGGATCGCACCATGAAATACTTACGAAAAGATCCTCGTACTCACCATAAATGTGTTAAATAATAAATATTACACTATTTAAGAAATCAGGATTCTAGCACCCATAGTTACAGACTTATGTGCGAGCATGTTTACGGGCCAAGTCGGTGTTCACGTGCATCGCTAACTGGCTGCGCCAAATAATTTGTATATTAGGCCTCCAATTGACTTACAGGTTAAGTAAACTTAAATCGATATTGTGAACTCCGTTCTTCCTGTCAATGTGGCTGTAATCAGTTCTGGCTGAAGTTTTGGTGCGCCAAATTTATTACGACGGTTGATGCTAGGTATAACATCAAAAATGCTCTGATGGACTCACGTGCTCCAACTGATTGACTATGTTATTGTCCAAGCCGTTCCCTGAATTTAGTTGTCAGCTGGCACAACAATGATGTTCATTTATGTGTGGAGACGACGGTCTTTTTCGAATCCTTTGATAGCTTAGAAGTAGGATAGTTTTTTCACTGCATTTTTCATCGCTGGTGATTGATGTGTCCTTTGACTCCCAACAACATTTTAGTTAGATGGAAGAATCACTGTGACCGCTCTGAAAAATCCATTTCCTGCATAAACTAGAGAAGACCTACAGCTGTAAAGTAAGATGACCTAGAATAGACATTTCATTTGCAAAATAGGGGTTACTGGTATAAAATCACAGACAGGTGTCATATAAAAAACTGGATTAGAAAGACAAATGATTCATGTGACATGGAAACAAATCACTGATATGAGTACTCAGCGAGAATGAGTCATGTTGGATCAAAAGGTAAAGGATGAGCGGTTTGAGTTGGGAACTCTTAAGTTTTGAGCGCAGATGGGGAATTCTCGCTGGGTGCAAAGGTCAGCACGCCACATGCACCGACTACAAACCAATTGACTCTTATTACCAGCTTTTTTTTTACATAATATCCATATATATATATATCACAAGAGTGACCGATGAAATGTGCTCATGATGCCAACACGCAAAATATCTTGCACCCCAAGTTTGGCTCCTTCCAGCATGTGGTTAGTCCTATTTGTTTATTACTCCACTGTGGCTTTGCCATCGTGTCATTCATTTTTCAGGTGTAGTGTTGATTGAATCATGCGTAAAATCATTGTGTAGATGCATGTTCTTTGCAAATTTCAAGCTAATCAATAACTTTTACTTGCAGGCTAGGGGGTTTGATTTACGATATTTTCGGCGATTAGTTGCTTTGATTGACTTTGTGTACAGGTGCAACTAGATGCCTGAGGGAAGATTAGGTAACGTTGGCAAACTTATGCTTTACGGTTTGCTCCGAATTAGCGGTAGATTCTGATTTTCATAAAGTATCACTGTAATAACGAACATGTGTAGGCCATATTGAAAATGAATACCCCGTGTAGCGTCATAATCAATTAATATCACACAGGAAAATTCTTCCTAATTTCCCTGTTTGAGAATAGTCACCGGTAGTAGTAAAAACACCGCACGATATGCTTACTTTTGCGCCTTTTTCAAAGTATCACTGGGATTGTTAGACATGCAGAAAAAAAGTAGTCGCATGATTAATTCACCCACTTAATTGAATTCTAATATAAATTCATATCTGTGCATCTAAAAATGGCTATTGCATTTTCAGCTCATTTGCTTACTCAATGGGGAATCACATTTTTTGTTGCACATCAATGCGACATCTTGCCATGTTTTTATAGCGTGCCAACCAGTCAGGATTCTTCCCCAGCATTTTGGCCAGTGAGCTTTATAGTGACGGAATAAATGATAGATATTTGCAGTTCTGGAGTAACTTATTTTCTTTTTTTTCAAAATCTACCTAACGTCATTGGCAGAATTGGATAGGTGGTATCGCATTTTCCCACGATACACATGCATACACTACCAGCAAATCAATCAATAGCTTGGAAAACTTTCAGTTTCACGTCTTACGACAAGAATGATGAAAATCTGTTCTGGGGTGTACTTTCTTGATTGACTGGCGTATCCCTTCTCTTTACGTCACGGTTTGCAAGGTAGGTTAGTAGAATTATTCAGCCATCCTTCTGTTGTGTTGTGTTGTTTAATAATTCAGCGAAGACGGATGCTTGACTTCCATGTGGTTGGGTGATTGACACTGGCAGTTGTCAAGACATGGCAGACAAGCCTTCAGTCAAACAGCTCGGGATGAAATCACTCTGTGGATTCATTTTATTTTCATTTTCCTGCTAAGGAGAATTCGACTATGCCGACATTGAATCAATCCCAAAATTCCGTTTTTGATTTTCTGTGATTTCTTGCAGTTTGGTCCTCCATCAGTGATGGGTTTACGCTTCAATGTGTCAGTAAACCCAAAACTACGTTCTCTTGGAGTTTAAGTTGTATTTGAGGGAGGAATGTGACTACTCCAAGTGTTTGCAAGTTTGTCTACACCGTGAACTTTGATTCCATCGCTGTTGACCAAAAGTATCGTAAAATCTTATGAAACAAGTTGGCTTTTTGTCACCCATTACAGCATTCTTTTACTAGCTTGGACTTGAGTTTGTGGTCAAAATGGGTGATGTCCAACAGTAGACGTAATCATAGAGCCTGCATACTCACTGTGCTGATAATTCAGCTTAGCAAACAATGGGATCGCTGTGTCGATTACACGGGAGCAATCAAACCACTATTGGCTTTTCTACTTTGATTTGGCACGGGCACTGTGTCATGAGGCTCAAATTGCTACTAAGAAAGATATGGAGAGCTAGAGCTGTACAAAATCTGTAAACAGTTTTGCCAAAGTGGGCTGCTTTGGTTTCGAACATATCATGCAGAACGAGTGGATAGTACCTCCTTGTCAAATGTGAAATCTAAACTGGTTCTGACGGAGAATCAGCTGAAATTCACATACATATTCTTAAAGTAAAAGTAAAGTCCCGAAGAATCTCAAAATGAATAGGACCTATGGTGGGCTGCCCAGAGTTTTCATAGGCATTATGGGTTAAATTGAAATGTAAATCGAGCAACCTTATGAAGTCAGTCTTGTTTTTTGCAGTTTATTTGAGGGGAGAGTAATGTTTCCGAAACCTTGCCTGTTAGTAAAACACTCGGCCACTTCGTAAACACATTCCGTGTGACCAAAATTATTATCCCGAATTTTCATTACTGATGTAGTAGTGTAACGGTGATAGTACTGACGGGGAGGCACGCGAGTAGTATGTGTCGCTCGTGGAATTTCGCCTTTATGTCTTTTGAAAAGGGGAGATCTGTTGTGGAATTTCTGAAGTCGCTTTGCAACATTTGCTTGGATTGGAGCGATGAATGATTGCAGTCAATGAATATCCAGGAAAGTTCAAGAAGACGCGTTCAAGAGAAGATCAATGTCCTGTTTTTGTAAATAAGATGCAAATGAGAGTTTCGCTTTCCTGTCCAATAGTGTGTAACCTGCC